AAACCCCAAACCCACAGCAAAAAGGGCTCAGGGCGACCTCTCAGCTGGTCGCTCCAAAGGCCCTTCTCAGCTTCGGCCGGCCTCTCTGTCTCCACTGTGTCGGCGAAGATCGTGATAGGGTCCCCTTTAAGGGAGTACTATAGGGTTCTATGATAGGGTGCTCCTTTAAGGGGTACTATAGGGTTCTATGATAGGGTCCCCTTTAAGGGGTACTATAGGGTTCTATGATAGGGTGCTCCTTTAAGACAGGGTCCCCTTTAAGGGGTACTATAGGGTTCTATGATAGGGTGCTCCTTTAAGGGGTACTATAGGGTTCTATGATAGGGTGCTCCTTTTAGGGGGTACTATAGGGTTCTATGACAGGGTCCCCTTTAAGGGGTACTATAGGGTTCTATGATAGGGTCCCCTTTAAGGGGTACTATAAAGTTCTATGATAGGGTGCTCCTTTAAGGGGTGCTATAGGGTTCTATGATAGGGTACCCCTAAGGCTGCAATGATAAGAAGCAGAGTATAGTTAGCCTCGAATCTAATTAGGCTACTACTCTTGCGGACAAACCTATTGGCCTGTTAATGATGCCTTAAGCGTTGTCCATGTCGTGGCATTGATTGTCCCTCCCCCGGCGGAAGCAGCCTTTCAAGCTAAACGTGCAAAAGCCCGAACTTACCCCACATCGCATGTTACTCGGCCAGCCTTGAAGTCTAAACCGGCAGCGACCCCAGAGACTCGGAGGCCTCGTGACGGCGAAGCGCACTCGGGAAGGACTCGCTGTAGTCCTTGGCGTGGCCTGGCACTGGAAAGCGGTTTAGGGTTTAGGGTTTAGGACCCTAAACCCTAAACCCTGTGTCTGAGCTCGGAGACAGCTTCAAGCAAGCGTGGCCTCGAGGGCCGGACCCGGAGTGGCCCTGGTGACGGCTGGAACCGAGGAACCCGACGGAGTAGGAGTGCCTACAGGTAGCGATTTTGCAGAACTTCCGAAAGCGCATGGAACCATCGTCTTTCTACTGATGCTCTACTGTTGACTCCTTGAGTCTCCACGCCATCCTGGTTATGGTACACCGAACGAGCCTGCCGGCACAGCAAGCTCCACCTTCAGTGGGACTAGATGATTGCATCTAATAGTTAACTTTCACCCGCGGGGGCCAAGAAACCTCAACGAGGGCCTGGGGCAGGCGAGACAGGTCTTAGACAGGGGTGCAGGTGAGCTCCACAAGAGGCCGACTTCAACAAGTCGCACAACATCTGTTGGTGCTTCAACCCGCCTGGCAATGGCCGGAGGAGGCGATGTCGTGCCTCTTCAAGTACATATGCGGCGAGTTTGCGCAGTTTGCAGGGACTTCGAGTCAATGATTCAGGAGTCCGACATGCGGCTTTCTGACCGTGGCCAATTGCAGACTGGCAACTCTCCTATCGGGTTTGAAACAACGTGAACCGACAGCGACGTTGAGTTGGCATAGCACTGGACTGCAGAAGCGGCAAATGTGTTCCAGGCAGGGTGTTACAAGTTCGAAGGGGCTGCAATCCAACTAGTAACTGGTATAGTATAGGGGTCTACACAGCTATACGGTGTCCGAAGGAACAGTACTAATCATTCCTCAGGCTTCTATATTAGCCATGTGGCCTTTCGTCCGTGCTCGCCCACGTGGTCGCACCCAACCGTTGGATGGCCTTGTGGGTGCCAGCAGTCGGATGATATCGGCGTCCGTTCCCGAGCAAGAGGTTTGTTACAGATACTCCGCCTGGCTTGCCTAGCACACGGACCTTTCAAGAGCAAGACGAAGAACAACACCGCTCTGATGCCTGGACTCTTTTTTACTGGTAGATCCCCACATCGAAACTCTGAATTGCTTGGGTGCCACTGTCGGCGTGATCATTGCCTGAAGCTACCAGCTCGAAGTCCATGTCGAAACCTCTTACGCCCTTTTCTCCGAATTCAAAATCAGGCTGCTGCAGCCTGTGGCCACGTCTGGATCGGGGGCCTGCTGCACGAAGAAGTCAGGTGTGTGTTGGTTTGGACTTTCACCCGGTGTCAATCGTTCTGATAACATATGTCGCAAGGGCACTCATGTGCGGCAGAAGTTCTCAATTTTCGAAGATTTGTGATTCTAGAGGTTTAGTCCGCAGGTGTCCGCCTCTCCGATCAGAGAAGACTCACTTTGCTGGAGCTGGCACTTCGAGATTTTCTAGGGACCTGGGAGACCATTGAGTGGAACTCCTGTTGAAACCCTCGAAACCAGCCAGCAACCAACACCGCCTCAAAATGCGTAGTAAGTAAGGGGCGGCTGGGTCGCAAGACAAAACGTTAATGCCGCGTTCGCTCGGTCGGCATCTCGAGCCCGTACTGACCAGGCCCACGGGTTAAGGGTTCCGGACTTGAGGTCCGTCGCATTTACGATGGTTCTTGTGGCCGAGGTGGAGGTGTATGGAGTCGCAGACAGGCATGCCGCACCCCTCAGGAGCATTATGCAAATTAGAGGCAAATTTGGGCTTCAGGCGTTCTTACCTTTGCATGGTCTACTCCACGTATCAGAGCACCTGCCTTGTCTGCCTGGTCGGGGCGCTGCCCGACCCGGCGCGCACCACCCGCACGGGACTGCGACTCTGCCGGGCCTGGAAAGATGACGCGCATAAGACTATAATACACTAAAAGAAGACTATAATATACCGTAATATACTATAATAAGACTATAGTATACTACAATAATGCATGGGTCGAGGGATCCGGGTCTGGGAACTCACGCGCTGAATGCTCTGAGGGGGCCCGTAGGATCCCGTAGGGCTCATGTAGACTGTCGGCGCCGGCGCTGCCTTGCTTGGAAGCTCACAGGATCGGGAGGGCTCGAACAGGCCGGCCTCCGTCGAAGCCACAACGAGACACCTGATACACAAAACAACAGAAGAACGCTCATACTCTTCATCCACCTTGGACAGCAAGATATCTGGCATTCTGGTGCACAACTTCGCATGGCATGAGCACAGGTGACGACTCTGAGCTTTGACAACGGCTGGGCTCGCGCACGGGCACGGCGTCTGGTGCACCTGGTCAAAGCACGTCGGCACGCGCGGTGCGGCATTAACTCTCGGTCTTGGATTTTGGAGTTTTGCATCAGACAGGGGTCTGAATGGATGAGCGACAGTCACAGCTCTACATCTCTTCTGCAGACGTCTGGGCATCGGGCAGGGACATCCGAGACTGTTCGGACTTCGCGCACAGAAATCGCTTGCTTGGCAAACCTCAGTGACCAATGCCAGAAAGATAAAGAGCAGACCAGCAGTCTTGCGACAGCACATCTCCAGGCTCACTCTGCCGAGGGACTGTGGAGGGACTGGAGAGGATGGAGATGGTTGGGGAGTTGGGATCATTTGTATGGTGGTAGCAGTCTAGCATGTCAAACGAATGAAAATGAAAATGAAGGCTCTTCTATTGCCACGACGAGCACAGAATCTATCATCTACAGGTAGGACTGTCCACAGGGGAGCTGTTCGAAAGCATGATCTCTGCGTGGCACCACAAATAATTTAAGTGTCCACTAGCGGAGCCTGGCCGAAACCCCAGCTGAGAATGGCTGTCACGCCTCTGAAACAGGGCACAGCCCCGAGCTGATCCCGAAGCCCTCCCCCCAAGCAAAAACACGAAAACTGCAAGAACTCCACAGCCCTGGATCCCTGACGCAGGCAATACAGAGGCCTTGACAGTTAGAATAGGGTTTTGGGGCCTATGGCGCTATAACTGTATTATAGGGACCGTCGGGGCATCCAGCTCTGATAGCAGAGACCTCCAAACTGCAGAAATGGAACATCTTCGAATGGGTACTTGGAGGATCATGGGACTTAGTAAGTAGGGTTAGAAGTACCTTAATTGGGGTAATAGGTAATTACAACTGTAGTTACCTTAATTATAACCCTAGTTACAAAGTCCCATGATCCTTTAAGTACTAAAGCAGTTCAGACGTCACTCCATGACAATGGCTTTGTGTATATTCTCTAGCGGAGCCTAAACCCTAAACCCTAAACCCTAACCCTAAACCCTAAACCCTAAACCGACTGGGATCCTGGCACACTTGGGGCCGACGGCGCTCTTGAGGGCACCGAATGCACCTTTCACATGGGCATAGGGTCCCTTTTTTGGGCCCCGAACATACTACGGCACTCTTATGAAAAGGAGCCCAAAAGGGGCCCTAATTTAAGGAAAAACTGCCCACATGGATGAGAATTACGCGCTGCATTTTTGTGGTGAGCTCTTAAGGCTTGCAAGTGCAAGGTTCGGGGCTTAGGTCCACGGGCTTCCCCGCCCTCTTATATTAGCTTACTGTTATCTTTCATGATATCATACTATCTTCTGCTATGTTACATTATACTATACTATATTATGTATTCCATATTATGTTATAACCTGGCTCCAAGTTCGTCATCCTGATGGCTGCTGAGTCGACTTCACGTGCTGGCGGTGTCGTCGCCGTAATCGTTCAAATCTGCAGCATGTGTACCCCAAACCCTAAAGCCTAAACCCTATACTCCCTGTACCCTAAACCCTATACCCTAAACGCTAAACCCTAAAAGCTAAACCCTAAACCCTAAACCCTAAAACGCTGCTAAGTCTGTGGTGCACCCCGAGATCCTGGGCTTAGCTTAACCCAGACTAGAAAGCCGAAAGCCTCATCTTACACAAATGGCTCCAAACTGCCCATGCCTTTCGCATCCTGCTAGTTGGCGATGCCAGTGCATCTGCAGCAGATGTCTAGTCCTAGCCTGAACTGGGCGAGGTCGCCAAGTTCCTCAGAATCCGTGTCCCCGCGCAGCGCTTCACACGGAACCGAAACCAACATGCACCTGGCTCGGCATGCTCCGAACCAAGTTCTGTCAGAGGTTCCCTCTATGCTGGCTTGGGCTTAGGCATCATCATCATCATTATCATACCCAATCTTGCATGACTCTTTTCGTAGTTAGTATAAGTTCCAGCGAGGGCCCCTCGGCAACGTCCGGCTACAGAAACAAACTTGCACTCTCCTGTGATTCTGTCAAAGCAGAAACCGGAGAGTGGCTTAGACACGAAAGAAGGCCTTTGTTTCACAAGTCTCGGCCGGGGCCAACAATCTGATTCATACCTTTTGCGGGCGGATCAATCGCTTCCAGGATTTTGGGTCTACTTCGGGCATCAGGTGACGGCTTAGAATGCATGGCACCACCCAAATATCTCCCAGACAGACGTGAACTCTGTTATTGCTGCGGCTTGACAGGCTGGACCCGGCTGAGAGAAAGGCAGAAGAAGAATCTGCGGCTTCCCATCAAACCCGCAGGATTTTACTGCGGACATGGGACCAAGCAGATATCCTAGGTTCCGATGCAGGCTCTTGAGCACTATGCATCTTCGTGCTCAGCACAGCAAGGCTCATGTGCTGCAGTGCCCGAATCATTGTCAAGGGCCGCAGCGCAAAATGCCCTGCTCTCAACCATGCTCTGCCTCCCTTCGCCGCAGGACGGATATGTATGTGTGCATACATATTATTCTTATACATACATACCTACATATCTACATTACATACATACGTACATACCTACATGCCTACATGCATATGTACATACCTACATGCATACATGCATTCCTTTTTAGCAGCCTTCGCCAGGCATGATCAACCGTGTGTCCGAGCACACTTGCAGGAGATTTTGAATATGACTGGGTGCAAGTTGGAGGAGTGCACGTTCCAGTACGAGTCAGTGGAGAGGTGGAGTGATTGGTAGGCAGACAGACAGTTTTGCACATGTTTTGTGGTTCTATAAGTGTATGCGAAACGATACACACACACACACATTGATCAATTAGCTTGAACCCTAGGGTTGAAAAAGTGTAGGTGTACGTTACGAATCTGACACGGATGGTAACAGTGCTTGGCACAGGGGGGCAGAGATACTTTGCTTTGGCCAGGGGCAGCCTTTGAAGGATTCCAGTACAACTGGTCCGTGTGCGAAGCTCACACTTTGGCAAAGCCTGCACACATCGACAATCCAGCCTCGAGGCTTCAGAACTAAGAGTGCGTTGATTGAACACAGTATGGCTATGTAGGCATTCTGGATCGAACGTTCTGTTCGTTCTGTTATCACGACCTCAGCTTCGCAGCTCCAGATTGACTTGCGGGGACCTGCTGCCAACTCCGGCAACTTTGCTGCCAGCATGCTTCACATCTGGCGCAGAATTCGTCCCCAGCGAGGCCGGATGCGCTTCCGACCCGTCTGACAAACTTCGCTCTTACCCAACCTCGTACGCCCACTCCTCACACCGTAAAGAACCGGCGTGGCGGATGTACCATGCCAACCTGGGCATTGGGGAGCCAAATTGGGATAGCTAGAGCCCGAGCATGGGCGATGTGACATCATTACATACCCACTCAAGCCTTGCATCCTCAAGTCTGGAGCACATAATCTTGCCCAACACTTCCGTCAAAAAGGCTGTCCGAGCACCCTCAATACCCCCTGCAGACTGCCCGAAATAACAGTGCATAACTCCTAGGACCTCACTACCCGTGTCCACGTCCTTGGCCTTTCGGGTATTGCTTTCGCTGCCAAAATGCCAAACGCATGCAAGGAGTTTCCGTTCCACCCAGTGCCCCGCAGTTGATGACCTCGGCACATCTCAGAAAGGCGTGAAAGACACCACAGCCACACCCTAGAGGCAACTGATTTCTCACCCACCGAAACGAGACACAGTTGCTCTCTCCCTCTGATCAAGGGGCTGCGGCTGCTGTGGCAGAAGCGAACAGCTGCACTGCAGATGCCAGTCTGGATTGATCTTGGCCACACTGGTACAGGTTCTGGCCCCTTAGCATCTTGACATGTCTTGACAGAGTGAATAACTTTATTGACTTTCTTGCTTGCTTGTTGGCGCTAGTAGTTCGTTGAACATAGTCTGGGTACGCTGGTTCAGTGGAGAAGAAGACAAGATAACATCAAACCGAAAGGTGAAACACACTGGCACCCATAGTGCAAATAATGCTTTTGAACATGTACTGACTGCAAACGAGCTGAAACCGCTTCTTAAGTTGTCTGCATCAAGATTTTCAGCCGAGGAGCATGTAGTAGGGGCATTCGTAATGGCTTCTCGCGGCGTTCTCTGCGAAATATCCTAAGGAAGCAATCCTCGGATTGAACGGACGTTGGCCCGCCACATCCGTTTGAAATCAAAGCAAACATTCACACATCATAACATGCATTCAATATGCATAGATGCATACACGCGGCCGCGCATGCTTACTATTTCATAGTACAGTCTTGCATATTCGAGTATGCTATATCATGCTGCATGGTACTATTATGTCTATTCTGTTGTATTACATCATATGACAAGATAGTACATTGCAGTGTGCTGTGATGTTATTGACTTTTTCTTATGGTATAGTAGAGTAGAGTAGCGTAGAGTAGAGTGCAGCGTCCTTCACAATCTAATGATGCATTTCACAAATTTATATTAATATGCGTTAAGTTAAGCTAACGCGGAAACAAGTACGATATAGTGCAATGGAGTATAGCACAACAGACTACAGCATGCCATACCATACTTTAGTATAGTATATCAGACCATATTACACTGTAGTTTACTGTGGTGCAATATTGTAACATGATGGAAGACTATAAAAAATATAGATATACATATATATATATATACATATATATATGTGCACATATGTATGTGTATGTGTATATATATATATATATGAATACATGGAGTAAACACATACTCCGAAAACACAAGATGAAATATGATACGGCAGATCATACAATGCGTTCCAATATGAACATACGCTTGCCTCTATCAAACTGTTCATGACGTGATGTGACATGATGTGTGATGATAGGAGACGGTATATGATGAAAAAGCATCGAAATACCAAACACAATGTGGTGAACTACATATAGCCATATAGCACGGTATGATATGGAATGATATGTATGGAACGGAATACTGGATGTAGCAGCACACAGTTGCGGCGGCGCGCCGCTTACGCGCGGATGTGACGATGCGCCGGTGCGCCGCTACGACGCAGATGCTCGCGCAATCGGTATGTGTGTATACTGCATATGCACACATGTGTCAGCGGCTAACGCCTATCCCGGCTTCCCGAAACAAAATACACACGACATGCACCTGATGAGTCTCTATGTACCACAACATGAAGTGCAAACTTAAAGAGCAACCTGGAGATGAATGCCGTGACACACTCGATCGGCACACATGCACACGCACACACACACACACAACCCTGCACGCGCATGCACACATGCATGGACGAATACAGAAGTGATGATAGATGCTAGTGTGCGTATATATATACATAACGAGAGAGAGAAGTAGATAAATATATGCACACACACAGAGGCTGATGCATATGCGCGCATGTATGTGAGTACGGTATGTAGCATGTATGCAAAACGGTCTGCCTGTCTGCCTGCCTATCGGTCTGTCCGTCCGTCAATCCATCCGTCTTACTTAGTGTCTGTCAGTCTGTCTGTCTCCCTTAGTCTGTCTCTCGCTCTCTCTCTCTCTCTCTCTCTCTCTCTCCCTCGCTCTCTTCTCGCATCTCTCGGCTTGTCCATGTGTTGCATGCAAGCTAAACAGCGAAGTTTTGACGTCGCAGCAATCCTGATTAGTCGTTAATGGGTGTGGAAATTGCTGCCACACACAAGCCTGGTCACTGTTCAGGACATAACTGTGTGCCGGTTGACAGTGCACAAGAACATTCAACTTGTCTTCTGTACAATAAGCTCCACTTGCAGCCCCGGAGCGCAAAGGTGACCATGGACGAGCAGACCGCGGGAAGGCTTCCGTCATCCCCACATGCATGAAAGGCCTCCGCAGCGAACCTTGCAAGCACTGCTTCGTAACTTGAATCGGCTTGAAAGCGGTTTTACATCGTTTGCTCCAAGGCTCGTTACAGCAGATCCAATCAGCTTGGCCGTTGAACCTGAGCGAAGTGGCTTTGCTTCTGGACGGCGAGGTTGCCTGGCCTGTCTTGCACCTCGGGTTTTTTCTCATCCGGCTGCTCAAGAAGACACCTTCCCCTCCGTCCTGTCCGAAGCCTCAAGCTTGAGGCGACCACCTGCAAACCTTGCGCACTTTCCCACACGAATCCGATTCTCATTCCAGGCTTTCTGGCGCTCCTGGCATGGATTTTTTGACATGCACTGGAAAGCTCCGGTAAAAGAGGCTGCCCTTATTCTAACCGAAGATCATCTTCAGTTCGCCAGAACAGGTGGCGAGCAACAGCAACAGCAACTACTACTACACTACTACTCCTCCTCCAGCTGCTGCTACTACTACTACCACTGCTACGACTGCTACTACTGCTGCTACTACACTGCTACCACCGCTACCACCCGGAGAATGTTTGACAAAATGCAACCCTAAACCCTAAACCCNNCCCCCCCCCCCCCCCCCCCGCAGTCCACAGCGCCGCAGGCGCAGACCTGACACGAGAAGAGCGACTGAGCAGCTCGACCGGCCCTCTGAGGGCTTTACTCGATGGGTTTTCGTAGTGTTCAAAGTTTAGGGTTTAGGGTTT